GTGACTGGTGACAGTTTGATAGCACTGTGTCTTTAACACCTGCACCACCAGGGAGGCCCAGCTTTGGTAACTTTTGATGTTTTGTGATAGTGCAAACTAAACACATTACAGGGAAATTTTCCTTTTAATGTTCAGGATACTTTTTCTCTGTGTGTTCCATTAAGTAGGCTGCTTTACTACTTCATCTTGGACATTCAAATATGAAAAATAATGGTAAGAATTATAAGCAGAGTCACTCAAGTGTGATTAATAAAATTTAAAATTTTATTCAGAAACACTGCGGAAAAAATAAATAGTAATTTTATTCAGATGTCATTGCTAGAAGAAACAAAATCACTTCAGTTGAAAACACACATTGAGATACAATATGTTAAATATCATATAAATAATAAGTTTATTTATATGATGTTGGTTTGAGGGTGTCTAGATCACTTTTGAAAATTAATGAGCTCATAGAATCATAAATAACATAATTTTGGAGGTAATTCTACTGTACTTCATAAGACAATTTTAGGCTAATGAACCTAAATTGACTATTATTGATGTATCAAATAGTTTCACAGATGTCTCAATGGTATTATCTATCAAGTGACTATCATTTTCCATATTTGTTGTAACATCAAAAATGGAATATTGTCAGATGTTCCCATTTATGATAAAAACTCAAAACAAGATGGGAATAGAAGGAAACTTCCTCAAAACAGAAAAACTGAAAATGACTCCTTAAGAGAAAAACAAGACAAGGATGTGCAGTCAACACTTCTGTTAAATACAATATTAGAGGGTTTTTTTGTTGTTTTTTAATTTTTTTATTTTATATAATTATTACATCATTTTTCATTTTTGCACAATGTATGCGTTTTCATTTTGGTTATATTCCCCATAAAATTGCACCCCACCTTATTTTGACCCTAATCCTTCCTCTCCCCAACCCTCCCCCCTGTAGTATGTCTCTGGTTTATAGTTGCTTCTTGATTTTGATTTTTACTTTGTATTGATTAGCCTTTTTCCTGGTCCTTATTTAGGTTTTTTAAATTCTTGCTATGAGTGAGACCATCGGTATTTTTCTTTTTCTTTCTGACTTATTTCGCTGAGCATAATCCCTTCTAGCTCCATCCATGTTGCTACAAACTGCATGTGTTTATCTTTTTTGATTGCTGAGTAATATTCCATTGTGTATATGTACCACATCTTCTTGATCCAGTCATCTATTTTTGGGCATTTGGGTTGTTTCCATAGCTTAGCTATTGTAAATAGTGCTGCTATAAACACAGGGAAGCAGGTGCCCTTTGGAATTACTGTTTCTGTGTCATTTGGGTAAATACCTAGGAGTGGAATTGCTGGATCATTCGGAAGCTCTATGTTTAGTAGGTCAAGAAATCTCCACACAGCTTTCCATAGTGGTTGGACCAGTTTGCACTCCCACCAGCAGTGCAGGAGAGTTCCTTTTTCTCCACAACCTCGCAAACATTTGTTGTTGCTAGATTTTTTAAACAATATTAGAGGTTTTAACAACAAGAAATTTATGAAATCCAGGTTAGAAAAGAAGTAAAACTACCATTTTTTATATATATATCTCCTTTATATATAATATATATAACATATATAGATTATATATAATATAATATAGTATAATAGTATAGTATAGTATAGTACTACACTATACTATAGTATACTCATCTAATTATAGTATAATTATAACAGTCATTTAATTATACTATACTATACTATAGTATAATAATATATATAGTATAATATATAACATATATATATTATATATATATATATATAGTGGGGACACACACACACACATATATATATATATTAAAAATATAATGGATACCAGACTCATCAAGAAGTTATTAGAAACTATATAAATACTGCAAAGTGTTAGGTCACAAAATCAACATGCATGGGGCCTCCCTGGTGGCACAAGGGGTTAAATCTCAGCACTATAAAACTGTTGGCAGCCACTGCAGCATGAGTTCGATTCCAGGCCAGGGAGTTAACCCACATGGTGCAGCAGACCTCTCCTGTCTTGCCTGCTGCTCCCCTCAGCGGTGTATTTCACGCAGTCTGCCTGTTCTGCTCCCCACTCTGTCCTTGGTGAATCCTCTCATCCCCTACACTTCTGGCCTATACCCCAGTTCTTGTATGCATAAACAAATAAGGCTTTAAAAAAAACAAAATCAACATGCAAAAATCATTTATATTTTTATATACATGTAATAAACAAGTAGGAAAAGAATGTCAATTCCATCCACAATTGTACAATTATATCAAAAAGGATCAAATACCTAAAAACTATTCAAGGCATGGGGGACAATCTGGAAATGATGGAGGAGAAGATTTTGTAGATATCACCTCTCCTTTTGTATGGAAAAGATTGAACATCTGTGGTGGGGAGAGGGGTATCTAATAATCCCTTTAATATCCTCCAATAAATCGCCCTTTCAAAAGTGAGATAAAAGGATATATTTTCCAAAAAACTGAGTGCCCCTACCATTTACAAATTAATTTCTAAAACTCACGTTATAAAAGAGGAAAATAAGGTTATGATATTGGATCAAGAAGGCATAAGAGGAGGTACCTTGCTTCACTCCCAGAGGATAGTCTGAGAAGATTAGCGAAAGGAATCATGGCCAGAATTTGACTTTAAGTTTGCTAAAATAAACCTAAATTAGTGAATTTTGAAAAGTGATCACCAGGACAGCAGTATCGTATCAACTGCGAATTTGTTAGAAATTCAAGTTCTTGGGTCCCACCTCAAATTCACTGAAGTAGAAACTCTCAGTCTTGAATTCAGAAATCTGTGTGTCAGCATATTTCTTCAGGTGACTCTGATGCCAATTCAAGTTCCGAAACCATTTGTCTCAGTTTATCTGGTGTGACTGGGTTGTGAATACTGAGATCTCTTGATTTATTTGGGCTTGTGAAAGGGACACAGAGCGATAGTCTAGAAGATGGAACTGCTGCAGCAGGTCAGGGAACAAAACAGTGGATTTCCTTATGATCTTCAAGCAGAATGCATTAAAATGTATTACAAAATATCATCTACATTAAACAGCTGACATCCACAATTTTGTTCAGCGGTATATCGACACACTCATCTAATTAAGATATTACTGTCAACTTGAAGGGTTGATAGCTGTGGTACACAAAACACTTCAGGTTGACACAGAAATGATTCATTCATTTATTCAAAATAAATTTGAACACACACTACATGTCATATATTATAGGCAGTGAGCACTAGAAATTTAACAATATGTAAATAAAAACCTGTAAGTTTTAAGGTACAAAATAGTTATAAACAATGACTACAGTGCAGCAGCAGGGTTAACCAGTAGTTTCAAAAAGAATGCCATATGTATAATAAAAAGAGAGCAATGTAAGGTGTCTAGTGGTAGCACAAACATTTTTCTGTGGTAGGTTACCGCTAGAACTTTAATGAGCAAAAGTTTTCTAAACAGAAAGATTGAGTGAAATCAGGTAAAACTAAGTGCAAAACCAAAGTGGTATTATATGATTGTGATGTAGGTTGCAGAGTAGGATAAAAGTAAATTGAAAATTATATGTGCCTAACACATACTTTAGATTCACTCAAAACCTCTTCTTTTTTCACTTCTACATATTTTAGCTTTATTTTCTATGAACAAGGATAGTCTCCTGAAAATACAACTAGAACAATCATGAAATTAACAACACATTCTAAAATCCAGTCCTCAGAATCCATTCAAATTTTGTCAATGTCCTTTACAATAAACAGAACAAGTCCAGCATTATATGCTAACTTAGCAGTCATTTCTTTTTAGAGTCCTTAAATATTGAATAATCCCTTCATTTCCTTGACATTAAAACTTTTGATGAATATCAATATCAATCAGCTTTTGTGCAGAACATGTCTCATCTGGGTTCTCCCTGAATGTTCTTTTTGACTATAGTCAGATTATGCATCTTTGATGGGGATTTCACTTTTTCTCATTATATCTTATCAAGTGGCATACATAATTTTAATATGCCCCCAAATTTTCAATTGAAAATTTGACCACCTATTAGGTAGTAACTTTCTAGCTTTTCTACTAAAAAAAAAAAAAAAAAAAAAAAAAAAAAACGCTTCTTCATTTTATGTAATCAAATGTTTTGTAGGAAGGTGTATACGTAAACACGTATATTTGCCATTCTTTGCCAAATTTTAATATGTCGCTAGAGTCCTATTTTATATTATGCAGCTTTATTACATGGGTTACACCTTATTACTTATTTTGACATTCAGTTTGTCCTATATTTTATCAGAGGGATCCCCTACAATCTGGTGCATTTGTCCTTTAAGTCTTTTTCTGCCACCGTTTGAGTATACATAGTTTTAGAAACTGGATAATCTGAGATTATTTTACAATTTATCTGTTCCATATATGGATCAAAGAGGTTCTTCTCAGGGGATAATACTTATTAACTAAAATCTGAGTACTAGTTCTGCTCATTGTTATTGGAGGTTGCCATTCTCATACTCTAGAAGCAGGCAGGAAACGTGTGAACATAACTGCATATGTATACATGTATATACTCTTGCTTACATATATTTACTTCTCTATTCTGACTCAATATACAATATATGTTGGATTCACACCAACATTTATAATTCCAATTTAGCACCAAAGGGCTCATTCTGTTTTTTTTTTTTTGTTCTTTTCTTTTTCCTTTCTCTCTATAATTATTTTTTCTGAGGTTGATAAGCATGACATCCTTATTTACATATTGTATTAAATTTTCTTTATGTGATAATGTGCTTTTGGCATCAAACTTCCCCCAGAAACTCCACCAATATCCTGTTAACCCTGATTTACCTCCAACATTCAACCTGGACCACTGCTTCCAAGAGCTGAAGTCTTTCTCACCTTGCCCAGGCTCAGAAACATTTGAAGAGATAAGAAGCCTCTGTCACCATTCTTGGCTTCAGATACCTGTGGTGGGAAACCTTCCCTGGATTACATCCATACCTGTTCAACACTGGCACAGAATCAGAACACCCCTCCTCACTTTGGTGTGATGCTCTCATCTCACCCCTGCTCATCCCCCTTCTCACTGTAAGGACACCTTTCTCAACTCACTGGGCTTGGCTCTGACAGCCCACAGCAGTCTGTCCCACAGCACCACCAATACCCTCACCTGTTCAGTCACAAACACCCTCTTGGGCCACAGAGGGACCCACCCATCTTTAGTGTCCTTTCAGGCCTTATGCATTTTTGTCTTTTGTGGTTTCTCCAAATGGTTTTAGGAGTGAATTTCCAAGAAAGGAAACATTGGTAACCAGGAAATGAAAAAGAGGAAAAGGAGGATAGAGAGCTATCAATATCTGTAAGTGGTAGAAATTATATTTTGGATTTGAAATTTGGAGAGACATACTTTTAAACAACAATGAATCTGGTTCCTAAGCCATAAGGCTAGTGAGATCAGTTATGGGAAATCTGAATCACTCTCATAATTCAGATGATGTTGATATTAGTCTGGGGTGTGACTGTGACAGCAGGATTTTAAAAATGGGAAATTGAAATATTATTAAAATTGAAAGAAATTGGTGAATAATTAAATAATATGAAGTTAAGGGAAATAAAGGGGTCATCCTAATACTGAGTTTTAATTCCAGTTTGAGATTGTATGCAATCTTTTCTTTCCTCTTTTTATGTAATCTTTTTTTCCTCTTTCTATGTAATCTTTTCTTCTATGTAATCTTTTCTCTTTCTCCAGTGAATAGATGGTCTTAACACTGTTCCTTTAGAACTGTGCTTACTTTTTAGATTGACATCATTAGGTATTACCTCTTAAATTTTATTATATCCTTTAAATTTCTTACTATACCTCTCTCAGTTAATATTCTTCAGATATCTATATTCTTAAATGATCTAATTTTATAAAACAATTCAAACTCTTATCCTTAGGGATAAAGGACTTCCTTATAGATATCCTTTCATTTTATCCTTAGGAAACTTATCTTTTTCATATTTTTTTCTTTTATTTCACACAAATGATAAAACATACATAGCAATGATATTGACAAAGTATATTTCTACCTGATTATTTGGTACCAACAGAGATGTGAATCATGAGTAGATCAAAATATCAACAGAAATTAAGGAAAGTAACATAGCTAACTGGTTGTCTAAATTGTAGCAGATTCAGCAACTATGAACTTGAATGTTATTCAACTCCTAGCTAAGCATTTCTCTGTGAGAAAATGGCTTCTATCCAATTAAAAAAATGTCTGGAGTGAACATCAAAGAATAAAACAGAAAACAAAAAATAGACCCAGTTTTTAATCAAAGTGAAACATGCAAGGGAAAGCAACCCTGTTCAATTTCTACAAGTTGAAGTCTATATCACCAATTTATTTTTCATTTCTTGTTCCTGCTCTAATATCCCTAAGTTATTATCAGCAGAAGCACAGCCAAAACCTCTCAGTCATGGTTGACTCCTCCTCACCGGAAGTAATAAAACTAACTCAATTCCTTTTCCAATGACAGTGTCTTAAAAAAAAAATAAGTTAATACAATTGGACAAAGGAATCTATAGAATCTAGAGAAGCTTGGGGCAAATAAACTGTGCATTTGGAACTTCTTGGGCTGTAACTTTGATCTGAAATATCAATAGACATCCTTTCATATTGCTTTTTATTCCTTTATTTCTTTTCAATTTTCTCCTATTTAATCTTGATTTCCTGAATGATACTATAGAATCTGACATATATGAAGTACTTAAGTGTTTTCTACTTTAAAAAAATTTGGCCTATTGTCATGAAAGCAGTAAAAGATTTTATTAATGTTAAAACAGGAAGTTCTAATATGATGGACCCCTCCTTCTGAAATTGTTTATTCATTTGGAGAACTTATTGAGAGTCTTCTGTCTTGAAAACTCTAAACATGTATTGGAACTGAATAAGAAAATTGATTATTAAGGGTTCTTTCTTAAAAGAGTATTTAATATAGCAGTGATAAGACATGGAAACATTTAAGTAAAACCAATCCATGTATTAGAAATAGTAACTAGGGCCTCCACAGTGGTGCAGCGGTTGAGCGCGGGGTTGCGAAGCTGTCCGCGGCCACAGCGGCACCAGTTCAATCCCCGGCTGCTCCCCAGCCACCGGAGGAAGGTCCCACATGGCGCGCAGACCTCTCCTGCCGCCCGCTGCTCCCCTCAGCAGTGTACTTCGGTCCTTCTGCCTGCTCTGCTCCCTGCTCTGGCTCTGGTGAATTCTCTCACCCTCCCCCGCTTCTGACTGTACCCAGTGCTTGTATAAACAAAACAAACAAATTCAAACAAACAAATAAATAAATAAATAACATTCCAAAAAAAAAAAAGAAATAGTAACTAATAGAAATTACTGTTAGGATGTATAGAAGAAAGAGAAATCATTATAAGTTAAACTGACATAAAAAGAATCATTACTGAGTGATAATTTTTTAAAATGTTTATATTTACTGATTTGAATTTCTTAAAGGAGAAAATAGCCTTACATATTCACGTTCTCTATGTGTTATACTTTCTTAGAATTGATTACCATATAATTCCCTCCACACCATCCCCAGAAACCTTGCTGTCCTTAAGTCATGATTTTTGTTAATAATGTTGTGTGCTGGGTAGAATCTATGTGGTATATTAGAAACAAAAATATCAGTAAAAAGTATTTAGACTTGGCATTAATTCTCCTTTTCTCGCCCTGTCATCCACTATTCCCTATAGAAATGTAAAATGATATGTTTGATACACCACTTACTTTTATTTTGGAGCTTACAGGAAGATGTCATATTCCATACCTCCTCACATCTACATGACATCTGCATATGTTAAGTTCTGGTTAATGTAAAGAGGTGAGAAATTGTGTACAGTATATCCAGTCTTGTCCTTTAAACTTTATATGTGATACTCATTATTTTTATCTTTTTGACTACAGATTGGCCACATTCTTTGCAGAGACCCTAGAAGGAGATGCCCTATCAAAATGGAAGGACCCAGGATTCCTATATCATGTACAATGCTCTTTGCAAAATAGTTTGTGGAATTTGATGTGAACAAAAAATAGAGTTTACTGTGTAAAGCCTCTGAGATTTAGAGTTTGCTGCAGAAACTAGCATGAATTACCCTGTGCTGGATTCTGTTCTGTTCATATTTCTTGCCATGTATATTCCTATTTCCTTTTATAACTATGATGTTTACCTGAATTATATTTCCCAACATGTCTGCTTCCTAAATTCCTGCACTTATCTCAAGGCCCAAATCAATTACAACCTTCCCATAGATTCTTCTTACTTGTCCAATTAGATGACATCTCACATTCCACTTCACTTCTATAATTTATCTTCTAGTACCAGAATCTTTCCTGAAGATCTCTTCTAAAGGCTCTCCCTCTAGCAGAAAGAGTTAAACAACACCAGACTTAGCTGGGAACTTAAAGATAAAATGAGGGATATGAAATTAGAGAGCTACCACTATAAAGTTTACAGGGAGTTTGAAGCCAATCTCAGCGCCAAGCAAAATGTTAGGAGAATATTAATATTATGTAATATAAATATTAGCATGATGTGTGGATAGATTCAGTCTCTACTACTGGGAAACTGAAAACTTAAATAGGTGGAAGAACTTCAGAGACTGGTATCTAAAGGCATCTACATGGCTTCAGAATGAGGGTTGGTCACCAGAATGACCAACTTATTGAAAGCTTGGAACTTTTAGCCATCTCTCCCATCCCCCAGGGTAGGGGAATGGGCTAAATATTGAGCTAATAATTGATTATGAATGAAGTCTCCATAAAAATTCCTATACTCTGGGGTTCAGAGAGCTTCTGGGTAGATGAACACAATTGTGTTCACTCCAACTTCACATGAAAAGACACTTCATTCAGGACGCTTGCAGGCCTTAGACATCTATTCATGTGGCTAGCCCTCTGTATCCTTATTATATTTTTTATGATAACTTGGCAAATCTGAGTACCAGTTTCCTGAGTGCACATAGCCTTTATAACAAATTATGAAATATGAAGAGTGGGTTTTTAGAAATCCTGATTTATAGCCAGTTGGGCACAAAGGCAGGTGATAACCTGAGATTGCAACTAAGTGCCTAAAGTGGGGAAGAGTCTGGTGGAAATGAGGCATTAACCTGTGAAGTTTCTAATGACACTGGTTAGTTAGTGTCAAAATTGAATTGTAGGCCACTCAGTTTGTGTCTGAATGTTGGAGAATTGGTTGGTGTGGGGAAAAATTCACATAGTTGATATAGTATTGTAAGTAGATATGGTTTTCCTCTTAGTTATTAGGGGAATATAATGAATAACTTTATGTCAATAAATTCAACAATTTTTCTGCAATGCACAAATTCCTTAAAAGAACCAAACTATGAAATTTCATGCAAAGTTAATAGATAACCTGAAAAATATCTGGGGTCTGTTAAATGAAATTTATCATTTAAAATATTTCCAGAAGGACTGCAGGACTGGATGTCATTGCTAGTAAATTCTACAAATATTAAGGAAGAATCAGTAACAATTTTATACCAGCAATTTATGAAATTGAAAGGATAGAGCATTTTCCAAGTCATTTCATGGGGCAATCATTTCCTTGACACATTATTAATAAAGGCATTCAAGAAAAACAACGGACCAAACTCTTTCATAATTTTCTTAAAATTTTAGCAAATCAAGCCTGTATAGAAAGGATAATATATCGATTAAGTGGGAATTTCATGATGGTTCAATATTAAAAGTTAATATAATTTACTATATTAAAAGTTTGATGAATATATGATAATCACAATAGATGCAGAAAAATAATTTGACAAAATTTAACCTTTATGCATGATAAAAATTCTCAATGGACATAGTTCCCTACCACTTATAACAATTTAGATACCTCAGATTTTTGTTGTCATAGCTTCCTGTTACTTTCCTTATCATAAAATTACTTATATTTTGTCACTTAATTGCCTTTCTAGTTACTTCAATGCCTAGTAGTTGTATAGTTTAAACTCAATTGATAAATTGCTAATGCAATATTAACATATGATTCTTAGTTAACTGGGAGGATTATCATCATTTTAACCTAA